AGGTCCGAAAGCTTACTTGTAAAAAATCTCACCAATGCCTGCTCCAAGCACCAAAGTCCCTCACAACAAACATTATGCTCGAAGAAATAACCAAACAATTCGATGATCAAAACACTTAACCATAAGGTGAGTTTAAAATGAATCAAATTGCAATATATATGAACATACATCTACATCCATATCAACATAGGCAATTCTATCATGAAATCACAATGATATTAGGAACTCACCTACACTTGATTTCAATCAAGTTTCAACATCCAATTCCATGGATTTAACCGGGGTTTAGCCACCTAGCTCTTGGCCACTTGTCCCGATCCTAGAAACACCATGGGCACCATCAATACAATCCATTTGCGTTACTTGAGACATAAGCAACACCAACACATAGGTATGCAATTTATGGAAAATAAGGAAGATTACTCAAAAGGTTTTTTAATCTCATTTTCACTGATTAAATCTCATCCTTAGCATATTTTCCAATATACCCTAAGCCTTAATCCTATTCCAACATAGCAAACCAACACTGATTGCATAAAACTCTAACTTTGCATTTCAACTTAAAACACAAAGAGGTTAGGAATGCTTACCACAAATAGCTCCACAATGGCACTAGGAATATCTTCCAACACCCAATGAAGCAATGCAATACCTCAAGCTCCTCAAACCTCAAAATTTTTGCCACTTTTTTAAGCCAAAATCTCCACCCACAAGCCTTCACAATGTATTCTAAGCTATGGATTTTGTTAAGGGTGATAATCTATTCATTTTTTCTTCCAACCTTACTTGATTTCATTGAGTGTAGAGGAGACTAGGTTTTTGGGTCACTAAATGCACATTAATGGCTTCTCCGTGTTTCTTTTTCTCTTTCCCCGAAATTTGTCTCGATTTCCATCTAATTAAACCACTTCTGCAACTGCTAGTTGATCCCCTCGCTCTAAGGAGCTTCCTCAGCGAGTAATTGCAATGCTCACTAGACAGCTCGCTTGAGCGATCTCTCCAGTGAGGAGTGGCTGCCAGACCCATTTAGCGTAAAAGCCCATTTCCTCACCTATACCCACTTAACCATTTCAAAAGTGGGCTCTCCTCATAAATCACATTCCACATTGATTGAACTAAGTATTCAATTTATTTTATCTACAATATGCCTGATTAACATTACCTAATTTTATTAAGCCTCTCACTTAATTAATCCATGTTAGACATGATTAAATAATTAATCTTATACAATTAGACATTGTACAAGTTAGGCCTATTATAGACTTCCCTTGGGATAATAGTTGCGTGGAGAAAATTCCTTTTGGTTAAAAACTGAGATGAGAAGCCCATAGGGACTTCTCTTGAAAGTGTCATATGAGCATTCCTGAGTTTGTCAAGTTGGCCAACGGAATGGCTCTAGTGCTATATATATATATATATATATATATATATATATATATATATATATATATATATATATATATATATACATGTTTGTGTATATAAGATATGCCATGCTTATTTAATGCCTATATCTTGAATGAACTTAAAGGTAGAGAAATCTCCAAAGACCCTTAGTTTATTGAGATTGTATCTCATCTCGTGTGAGAAATCATATTTCAAGTACACCAAGTGATGCATATGAGATCTCTCGTGGAAAGAGGTCAGTTTAAGGATGGAGCTTTACATTTTGATTAGAACCTCTTGACATAGAAACATGTTAAGACCTTTTTTTGTTTGTACAATTGAATTATGAGGAAGCATGTATTGTCATATATATATATATATATATATATATATATACACATATATATATATATATACATATATATATATATATATATGTCAAAAGGAGAGCCAATGAGCTTTATTTTTATAACCTTGAACATAACGAGGTATGAGGGTTGACACGTGTGTATAAATCTGCATATTTTGATGCCTCACTTGAATGGCATACATGTAAAGGAATTGAAAGGCTCATAAGCCTTATTTTTATAAACTTAGGACATTACTTTTGAAAGGAATGTATTTTGATGAATGTTGAATATCATAAGATGTGAAAGGAGATGAATAAATGTGTATATTGATGTTTGATTGTCATAAGGAATGGTTAGTTTAATTGATTGTCATGGTTATTAGGTACAAAATTGGAGTTATACACTTAGAAAGTGGTCTAGAACATTATTTGGAGAGTTTTAAACTTAAATTTTGAAGTATCCCCTATTTCATGGCACTCCGTGTGCCAGAATTGGTGCCCCCAACACCAAGAAACAGAAGCTAACAGTCCCACAATGCTTCGAACGCCGGGTTGGCACTTCTGGTGCCAACATACAAAAAATTTCAACATAGCGCACTAAAACGCGCATATCTTGAGTTAGAAAATTTCAAATAAAATGAGGTTTGAACCTATGTGAAGTTAATTCAAAGACCTACTACAACCCTACAAAATATTAGGACCTATTGATTAGTGGGTAAATCCTTGTTCTATTTTAAAGTTGTTGCTTTCCTTCCAGAAGTCAAGCAATTGTCTTGCGAGTTGCGTGACTCATATTATACTTAGTCAAACTGTTAATGTTATACCTTGTTAGAAAGCTCAAGATGTCTAGTTTAACATAGTAAAATATTAGAATTAACGATGGTGTCATATAATTTTAGTCTTGGAAATAGTATTAGTTGTTCGGTACTTAATTCAATTATAGAGTATATTTCTTTCTATTGTTCTTTAATAGAAATACTTATGGACTTTATGGCACCAGTAGTCGAGTCTAATATCATAATAAGGAAAGAAAAAGTTTATTCATAACTTTACATTAGTTAATAAAAGAGAAATCTGCCAACAAAGGTGGACACAGTTGGCTAAGGGTTTGGTTCATACCCCTCAAGAGCGTGGGTTCAAATCCCGCTGGTCGATGTGAGGACTTTGTTGGTGGATGATATGTAATTTCTCCCAGAAATCCTCAAAGAGGTTGGGGGTCTTCCCTGACCCTAGTGAGACACCGGTGTCTAACCCCACTTAAACTTTTTTTGTATTAAAAAAATAAAAAATAAAAAGAAAAATCTAACTGCACTTAATATCATAATTAAATTAATACACTGAGTGCACACAAAATATTACAAATAATAATATGATTGTTGACTTTCGGATAGTTGAATAATTCATATTATTTAATTTCATCCCTCAAACGCATTTATATTCGGGTAGTGTAGCACTCCTCCCACCCAAACACTGGAAGGTAGCCTACTGTTAGGTTGAAATTATTACATCTTAGAATAGAAGACATAATGAAACAGTATCACATTAGCATTTTACAGACTTTTATTTTAATTTAATCTTTCAAAGATAAAAAACAATAATATTTTTTTTCTTATATCCCCACTTTAATTATCATAATAATAAAAGTGGTAATATCTTAGATTTTAAATAATTAATTTAATGACAAAAATATCAAAAACTAATATATAACGATACACTAATTTTCAAATATACAATTTTTTTTTTTTTGGTACATACAAAATTACTTTTTTTAAATAATTTTTTTTTCAAATATACAATTTAAGGATTCACTAGTTGACGAATCTTGTCTTAAAGTCATCAAATATATTCATCAAAACATTAATCACAAAAAAATTAGAGATAGGTTATTCTACCTACCATTTTTTCTGCCTACCTTTGCCTACCACTTTAAAACACCATTAGATCAGAATCTTAACTAACATTTATCTTTCTCTCTCTTCTTGAGATTCTGATCTAACGGTGTTGGAGGGTGATAGGCAAAGGTAGGCAGAAAAAATAGTAGGTAGAATAACATATCCCAACAAATTATTAGTAGCTATTAATTTTACTTATATCTAACAATTTTAATTTATTAATCACATAAATTATTAGATAAAAGTGAAATCCACACACACACACATAAATTATTGGATAAAAGTGACATCCACACACCCACGTTAATAAATAATATAATTTACAATGGTATAAAATTTAAATAGAGTCAAATTTAACGTCCTATACCAAATTTAATTTAGTTTGAAACTCGAAGTCAAACTTAACGTCCTATACCAAATTTAATGTAGTTTGAAAGTCGCAGTAATAACATGAAAATTTCATGGAAAAACAAGTCACGTGAACGTTCTTACTATAGTACTATATTCATCATTAATGCTCTCGTAAATTTCTTTCTTCTTATTTATTGAAGTTCAAATTTTTTTCCCATAAGTTATAAGACAAAGCATATAAACAGCCTCTAAAGTCTAAACCATATTGGGAAGGTATTATTTTTATAATGATGATATTCATACAACTTTTTTGTTAAATTATTTTTTAAACAATGAGAAATCATTAATTCGTAAATCTTTAGGTGTGTAAATATCATTCTCCTTATTTTTACCACAATCCTCATCCAAAGATTTGTAGAGCAACTGAGAAAGAGACAATATCTCATTCACTATCACGCGAAAGGTTTAGTGAAGAAATTCGTGTTCATTGAATCTAATAATACTTTTAAAAAAGATTATGGATTTGGCAAGAAGCATGATTCTCAACCAAGTCTGTGCGTTTCACCAAATTCTCCCCTAACTAAATAATTTTAATAAAAGACATAAACCTAGATTTGTCAAACATTTTTAATTGGTTCGTTTTTTCTTCAAGCAATAGATTGAGCAACTAATGTGAAATTTATAAGGCCTTGGGCACTCCCATCCTTCAAGGTTCTTTACATAGTATCAGACCCTCGTGTCCCGGTTACGATCATCGCCGCCTCCCACTTTCTTTCAAGTGGAATTTCGTGTCCCGGGTTCGATCATCGCCGCCCCCCACTTTCTTTTAAGTGGAATTTCTTTGTTCGCACAGGTAGGCCCACGCCCCCCACTTTGGGCACTCTCACCTTTGAGCTAGCTTTTAATATGGTATATTACCTGTTATCCCCGTTCTCCTCCTTTCCATGTCCTTTTTTTATTTATAAAACACACTTCTCCCCTTAACCTTTTCATTCATCCCACAATAGCAAATAGCGAGAACCATGCCCAAGAAGATTCAAAAGACCCTTCAAGATTACCTCTTCAAGATCAAAAACCCTCACCCTCAAATCCAATCACCCCTTAACATTCTCTCTAGCCGCAAGCATCCAAAGACACCTTCTTTTGCCTTATGCAACAACAATCACAACGATGATGCAGCCACTCTAGCCGATGTTGATCGTTTCCTCTTTGAGAATTTCAAGTCTCTATACTCCAAAGAAGATGAAGAAGAAAATGAAAACAAAAACAACACCAAAAGGGTTTCCGAAGAAAGCAACGAGGAATCTCCAAAACTAGCCTCCATCTTGTTCGAATCACCGAGGTTGTTGGAAACACCACGTGATCTTTGTGGCTCCGCACGATTCTTCGTGAGTCCAGGGTTCTCAGGGTCACTGATGGAGGATGCTCTCACGAGCATGACAACAACCACAACATGTGACGAAGCAGGATCAACCTCAATTACCACAACAACCCTCAATGGTTCACCTTCCAATTCTCAAGATCTAAAGGAAGCCATGGATCATACTCTTCCTGAGAACTGCATCGCACTCTTGACATACTCGCCGAACCCTTACGAGGATTTTCGGCGTTCCATGCAAGAAATGGTGGAAGCGAGGTTCTGGAACCGTGAAAGGGTCATCGATTGGGATTTCATGGAGGAGATATTGTTTTGTTACCTAAACCTGAATGAGAAGAAATCGCACAAGTTCATTCTCGCTGCTTTTGTGGATCTCACCACCGTCATGCGTCGGAATTTGGAGACAGCTCCGGCGAAGCCACGGAGTGTTCGAACTGTTAGGATTGGAAGGGAGTTAAGGAAGAAGACCAGAGAAACAACGTTAGAATTTATGTCCTAGTAAACTTGAGAGAGGACAAGGTCTGACATGTGTTTTTCTTCATCTTATGAAATGGTAATCGTTAAATTTATGTTTTTTTTCTTCTTCTTATTATTCGTTAAATGGATTGAGTTATTAAAAGATAAAAAGTATGACATGAATCCTTAAAATATGCATTGTATTGGTTAAATGAGTCATCGAGTTAATAGCGTGTAGGACAAATTTGATAAATGAAATGCATATTTTAAAAGATATATGTAATAATGTTTATTTATTAAAAATTAATATAACTAACGTTATGTATATATTTTAGTTAAGTAAAGATCCAAGGGTGGTTATCCATCCGAAATAAGAAAAAATCTTCTTAGCTTCCAAAAGCTTGTCAGAAATGTTCCATGGGCGAGGGACGAGGTTCAAGAAAGACCACATGGGTTTGAACTTTGAAGTGTTTTTATTTTCGGGGTTTTTAATTTTACTCAGGGATCACGTGCTGTAAGCTGTACCATATGATTTTGAGTGTTCCTGAAGAAAAATGAGCACTTTGTTTATGGTTTAAGCTTTGTAATTTTGTGGGTTTCGGTGAGATATCGCTGTTATTGATGGTGAAATTGTCTATCACTTGTTCCCTAGTATTTACAGCGAAGTCTCCCTTGCTTGTATAAGTTAACGATGTTCCACATGGTACATATTATCTTAATAAGCATAGAAAATAGTGTTTATAATTTATGCGTGTGTGTATTAACATAAAGTAATTGAGAAAAGAAGAAAAATCATACAAATTAAAAAATTATCCTTGACATGCCAATTTTCATTAAATTGTATCAGAGTCAGTAATTTAAAATATCTAAATTTATTAAAGTATATATAACATAAACGATGTGCAATACTTTAAATTTTAATTTTAAAATTTAATTTAGTCCAAACGATCGAAGTTCTAAAATCAATTTTCTAAATCAAATCTTCTATAACAAAGTTTTTACATCCCTTTTTTATTTGGAAAGACTTTTTGCATCATTTCACAATCGATTTCTTAACACTTTGTTGGTAAGTAACGTTATCGCTTATTCGCTTTTAACAATTAGTTTTTTACAATTTAATTCAAAACATAACCATACTGCCTCGTTTTAAATTAGTTAACATTTATCAGCAAATTTTTGTACTTACCGGAGTTGCTGATGTTCAGACAGGTTAGAGGTGAGTAAAGCTACTCACGGAACTACATACAAACAATTTTCTACAAGCCACTTATGTAACAAAGCCAGCTTGAAGTGTTATTCTATCAATAATGCTTCAATTAGGAAGTGTATAAATTATTTGTAAAAAAGTAATAACAAACCTGTCTTTTTAAGTGGGCCAGTTCACAGAAGTTAAAAGTCATCCCTCAGAAATTCTAATCGAGATATTTCAGATTGCTGCGAACTGTCAAATGTACGAGTAGCGTTCATATTCTTTTGCCAAAAGTTTGGGCTGAGCATGCCAATTCGCTTTTTGTAAAAGTATATACCACAAAGGAAAGAAAAGAAAAATGATAATGGAAGAAATTTTATAGGTTTCTTCAAGATTAAGGTGGTGTTTGGTTGGGGGTTTTTTGGATTACCCCATGCAAATGAATCAAGGATTATGGGAAGCATGCGTTTGGTTGAAGCAGATTTTGCTCAATGCCCACGGAAACACAATGCATATCATTCCACCTATTTCCCCATTTAGCTATGCATCGGCACTGTTTGAAAAGCAAAGGATGGGGTGGTTTTTTGAAGAAACCCATCTATGTCACATGGGCCCACAACATATCATCCCAAATATACCCTCTGATACCCTCTGGTAAGTCTTCATTCGCTCGCACTGCAAGTTCTATTTTTAATTCAATGAAAGGCAAGATACCTTTTAAATGTTACTACATACAATGCTGTTTCTGGTGGTTGGTCTAAGTTTGGAAGAGTGAATGAGATTGAGAGGATTATGGAGGAAATGGAAGCTGATGCCTTTCGTCCTGATTGCACGATTTTTAGTTTCTTTCTTGAGGGTTTGGGCAGAGCAGGTAGATTGGAAGAGGGTGTTGAGGTTTTCTGTAATATGAAGAAGAAAACTTGCCAGCCAGATACTGCTGCCTATAATGTAATGATTTTCAATTTCATATCAGTTGGAGATTTTGATGAATGTATGAAGTATTATAATGGGATGTTGAGTGATAATTGTAAACCTAATCTTGATACACCTACTGCTTTTCCCAGAGCCCGAAAAGTGGCAGATGCGCTTCTGGTGTTTGATGAGATGTTAAGGTAAGGAGTTCTGGAGTTGTGCCTTCTACGGGGACTATAACTCAATTCATCAAATATTTATGTAGCTATGGTCCACCATATGCTGCTTTGATGATTTACAAGAAGACAAGAAAATTAGGGTGTGTTTGATGTCAATGGATGCTTACAAGATACTGATTATGCGTCTTTCTAAGTTTGGAAAATGTGGAACATTGTTAAGATTAAACTTTTAGGTAAAGGATATTTATATTATATTTCTCTAGCAACTTCCTTAATTTTTATATTAGAGGGGTTGGTAAAAAAAAATAAACAAAAGGTAAACGTTGATTCAAAAAAATTTAAAAACAGGGATATTTTCGTAATTGTCACTTATTTCCCCATCTATATTTTACCTCAAACCAAACATAGACTTTATAAATCTTACCTAATTTGCCCAGTAAATTTTTTTCAACCAAACAACTTTTTTTACATTTTCCTACCAAACTCATTTTCCAACCATTTCCCTATCAATTACATTTCCCTAGTATTCAAAAAAATTCTCCTCAACCAAACGCCCCCTAAAAGGCCAGTGAATAAACTTTAAAGGTCATCTAGTTTGTAAGATTCAACTGTGTCAACCTAAAACTTTTTGGTAATCCGTCATTAATAAGTCATCTAAAAAAATATCGCAGTAAAACTTAAGACTTACAACATGCTTTGACCTTGGAATAAGATGACTTCCCACCTAATTTTTTTAAAAAAATAAAAAAGGACAGTGAACTTCAAATTTTGAATTGCTACAGTGATCATAGCTCCTCATAGAAGATATTAGGGGTAAAAGTGGCAACATAATAATATTTGGATAGAAAACAAATTAGTTCTTCGTATGATATAAGTAAATGGTAGAATTGCTATGACCTAGATGAAATCTTGTATCAATAAGTTACTTTCATTAATCTCAACGATGCCCTTTTATAGGCAGAAGGTTCTACATCAGATAACAAATAGATAAACAACCAAATAACTAACCCTACTGATATGGAAAACTAACGCTACTGATATGCAACAACTAACAAACTCTTAGATACATATCTACAATATCAACATCATATCTACAATATCAGAACTACTTAACAAACAGCCTAGAGTATCTACATGGATAACACTATATCTCCAACACTCCCCCTTAAGTTGGAGCGTGTAAGGATGAAATACCCAACTTGGGAAGAAAGGCAAGGAACACAGACTGTCCTAAAGCCTTAGTGAAAGTGTCAGCAAGCTGGGTCTGCGAACGAACGAATGAAGTTGCAATGGTGTTGGCTTAAATATGCTCCCGGACGAAATGGCAGTCAAGCTTTATGTGTTTGGTACGCTCGTGGAAGACTGGATTCGCAGCTATGTGTAGAGTCGTTTTGTTGTCACAAAATAGCTCCATTGGGTTGGTATGAGCCACGCCAAGAGAAGCAAGGAACCCTTCTAGCCAAACAAGCTCTGCTGTGGCGACTGCCATGGCTCTATACTCGGCTTCTGCTGAAGATCGAGCTACGGTCACCTGTTTCTTCGTTCTCCATGATACTGGTGACTCTCCTAACATGATGAAGTAACCTGTAACAGACCTGCGTGTGAGAGGACAGGTAGCCCAGTCAGAGTCGCAATATGCATGATATTTTAAATCACATTCGGACTTCAAGAGGATCCCTTGTCCTGGATTTCGTTTGAGGTATCTAAGGACTCGCATAGCTGCATCATAGTGAGCCTGTTTTGGCTGTTGCATAAACTGTGAGAGGACATGGACAGCATAACTTAAGTCTGGCCGTGTGAGGTTGAGATAGATTAATTTCCCGATTATGCGTCTATATCGTTCAGGATTATCAAAGTCTGGTCCTTCTGCAAGTCCAAGTCGATGGTTTTGCTCAATTGGTGAATTGGCAGGTTTGCTGCCGCTGAGACCCGATTCCTGTAGTAGATCGAGAGTGTATTTGCATTGGCACATGAATATTCCTTCTCTGCTTCGAGCTATTTCGATTCCAAGGAAGTATTTTAAGCTTCCTAAGTCCTTGATCTTGAAACAATTGTTTAAATAATCCTTCACTGCCTTACAGGCTTGAGAATTATTTCCTACTAGGACTATGTCGTCCACATAAATTAGAAGAAAAAGGAAAATGTCATCCTTTTGCATTGTGAAAAGAGTGTAGTCAGCTCGAGACTGCTGGAAACCGTAGGCTAGATGTAATGTCCCACATCGGTTGGAGAGGGGAACGAAGAATGCCTTATGAGGGTGTGGATACCTCTTCTAGTGTGAGGCCTTTTGTGGGGTGTCCCAAGAAACAAAACCGTGAGCTCGACGGTGCTTGTGCGCGGGGAAAAGCGGACAATATCATGCTACAGGGTTTGGGGCTGTTACATTTGGTATCAGAGCCTGGCCCTGGACCGGTGTGTACAGCGAGGACGCTGTATTCCCAGTGGGGAAGGATGTAATGTCTCACATCGGTTGGAGAGGGGAACGAAGCATGCCTTATAAGGGTGTGGATACCTCTTCTAGTGTGAGGCCTTTTGTGGGGTGTCCCAAGAAACAAAACTGTGAGCTCGACGGTACTTGTGCGCGGGGCAAAGCGGGCAATATCATGCTACAGGGTTTGGGGCTGTTACACTAGAAGGGAGGAGCTCAGCTTTGAAAACCAATTTCTAGGTGACTGTCTCAGGCCATACAGAGACTTTTTCAAACGGCAGACTTGGTGATGTGATCCATTGTTGAAGCCTGGAGGAAATCTCATATATACTTCTTCACTGAGGTCTCCGTTAAGAAAGGCATTATGGACATCAAGTTGATGTAGTTCCCATTGCTTTGCTGCTGCTACTGCTATCAAGGTTCTAACACTGGTCATTTTTGCTACAGGAGCATATGTTTCCCCAAAGTCTTCCCCGGCTATTTGATGGTTTCCAGCAATAACCAGTCGAGCCTTGTATCGTTCGATGGTCCCATTTGAATGATATTTTATTTTGCATACCCACTTGCTAGGTAGGCTCGCTTGCCTGTAGGTAAGTTGGTGATTGTCCATGTCCCGTTGTTTTCTAAGGCTGTAATCTCTTTACGCATAGCTTCAACCCATTGTGAGTCTCTCATAGCCTCTTTGAGGTGTCTCGGTTCATGACCTGTATCAATTGCAGCTACAAAGGCACGATGATTGGGAGAGAATTTAGATAAACTAACATAATTTTGTAGAGGGTATTTGATACCTGACCTATCATCGGAGGGAGGACTAGCTGGTGCAGAGAGTTCATGTGTTTCAACCTTGTTGCACTCATAGTCATTGAGATATGTAGGTGCCCTACGAGGACGACGTTGGCGTCCTAGGTATGTACCAGCATCATGCACAGCTTCGTTTGGTACGTTACTACTCCCCCAGCCATCATTATCTTCTCTAGGTGGTGCCTCCATTCCTTCCTCTATCTCTACGAGTTGGTCTAGTGCCGGTGCTGGAGACGGCACTTCCTCTGGAAATGTTTCGGTCATCACTGTAGGATCAACAGCTTTTATCGTTCCGGGTAAGGAGGGCAGAGATGCATGGCTTGAGTCATTGACTGGTGTCGTAACAAAAGGGAAGGAGTCTTCATGGAACGGTACGTCTCTGCATATGAAATATTCCTTGGTTTCCAGGTCATATAACTTCCAACCCTTTTGAGTCACTGGATAGCCCATGAGAATGCACTTACGGGACCTAGGAGCAAACTTATCAGTAGGTTTAGGTCTTATATTAGCAAAGCATAAACACCCAAATATTCTCAAGTGATCGTAGGTTGGTGCCTTTTCATACAACGCTTCATATGGAGTGCAGCCACCAAGGACCTTGGATGGGGTTCTATTGATCAAATGGACTCCTGCAAGAACACTCTCCTCCCAGAAATCAACTGGTAATCCTGCCTGAAAGAGCAGTGCTCTAGACACGTTCAGGATGTGTCTATGTTTTCTCTCTACGCGACCATTTTGTTCTGGCGTGTAAACACAAGTTGTTTGGTGTATTATTCCATTGTTATGGTATAAATTCATCAAATTTTGTGATTTGAATTCGCTTCCATTATCAGACCTTATTAGTTTTACCATTTCGCCAAATTGGTTTCTGATCATAACCAAAAATTTATGGATTCGATCACTGGTTTCTTTCTTTTCAGATAACATGTACACCCACACAAATCTACTAAAATCATCAACAATAGTTAAGAAGTAATGTGCTTCGGAAGAGGAAGAGGAACGATAAGGTCCCCACGTGTCACAATGGATCAAATCGAAACAACTTTTACTACGAGTATTTGATAGATGAAACGTATTCCTAGTTTGCTTGGCCCGACAACATACATCACATGCTTTATTGGAAATAAATTTGGCTGCAGAATTTGAAATTATTGGAAGCAAAGACGTTACTTCATATGACGGATGGCCCAACCGTTTGTGCCACAAATCAACAGACTCTTGAACTCGAACAGCAGAAACTGAGGCACACTTCAATTGAAACACATAAACGCCTGCTTGAAGATCACCAAGACCAGTCTCCCTCATCGATGTTTGGTCCTGCAAAATACATTTTTCATCAGTAAACACCACTTTGTTGTTACTATCTTGTAATAATTGGGATACAGATTGGGATACAGAGACAAGGTTGCATTGTAAATGAGGGACAAACAACACATTATGCAATTTGAAATTTCCGTTGAGGATTACTGTTCCTCTTTTTTCTGCATGGGTTACGGATCCATTAGGTAAACCCACGGTCAGAGGCTTAATGTTCACAACGTTAGTTAGTATATCTATTCTTCCTGTCATGTGTTGTGAAGCTCCACTATCAATGAGCCATTGTGAATGAATATTCTTACCGGACAAATTGTCACCAGTTTGAGGCTGATCCACCAACGTCAAAAGTTTGTTCACCACCTCAGGGGTCAGAACCGAGAAGGCTCCTGCATCTTGTGAGTTTTCTGGAGTCTGCATAGCGTGAGCCTGCTCATATGTATATCTTCCTCTGGTTCTTCCTCTGCCACAACCTCGGAATCCTCCTCGAGTAAGTGGGTACCCAATTATCTTCCAGCACCTTGAAGGGTCATGATTAGTTTCCCACAATGAGGACAAGGTATTCTTTCAGTCTGCTTATCAGGTACCATACGCTGCATCATGTTCTCCTTTCCCACGTTGGTTGTTGTTTGAGCTGCATATCCAACTACATTCCCACGCTCCTCATGGTTGCGAGCAATGTTTCGGTGGGTCTCTTCTTGTGTCACAGCAGCATAGACTTTGTTGACAGATGGGAGTGGTGAGCTGTTTAGAATCTGAGAGCGCAGATTACCAAAAGTGGATTCATCTAACCCCATAAGAAATTGATACACACGATCATGTTCCCTCTCTTCTTCAATTTCCTTTGCATATGCACAATTGTCACCACATGCGCAGGTTTTACGAGACTTGCTTCCTTCCAATTCATCCCATATTGCTCTTAGCTTTGTGCAGTACTCTCCAACGCTACTACCTTGTTGTCTCATGCTAGCCAGACTTGCTTTGAGTTGATATTTTCGCGAAAAATTCTGCACTGCGTACCTCTCCTTCAAATCGTCCTAGAGGTTTTTCACTTCGTCGAAGCACTTTATAAACGGTTGCAAACTTGGATCAATGGTATTATGTATCCACCCATTGATCATTGAGTTACACATCTCCCATGCATGTCATTCTGCTGCATTCTCCTTTTTTGGTTTCTCCACGGATCCTGTTTTGAATCCGATTTTGTTCTTTGCTTTGAGTGTGTTTTGCATGAGCTTCACCCAGTTTTCGTAGTTGGCTTCTCCTCGCAACATCACTGTTGTCAACATGATCCCCGGGCTATCTGAACTTGCCAGGTAAAATGGCGACCCAGGGTCTGATGGCTTCAGTATGCTGCTACCCTCCTTTGCCATTTGGTAGGCTAGCTTTCACACTCTTACGCTGCGGAAGTGTTTGATCATAGGTTCACTCTGATACCAAGATGAAATCTTGTATCAATGAGTTACTTTCATTAAAAAAAAAAAGGGATGTCACCTATCACCTTAAGGTTTTAGGTTGAAGTGGTTCTTTACATGGTATCAGAGCTTCAGTGACCATGAGGTCACGAGTTTGATCCTCACCGCCCCCCACTTTCAGAGGGAATTAAGAAAAGCACAAGAAAGACCAAAAAAATGGGCTTGTACAGCACAAAACGGACCAATAATAGGCTTGTGCCATATCCACGCTTCAAGCTCAAAAGACTATTACGTGAGGAGGTGTGTTAGAGAATATAATATAAATATTTAAAAAAAAAAAAAGGAATGTCACATATCACCTTAAGATTTTGGGTTGAAATGGTTCTTTACAGACCCATTTGCCGCAAAGCTCGTTATTGTTTCTAAGGTAAAAATGAAAGATAGCCAGCTCGCTATGGATATCAATTTTTAGAACTGCCTTCATAAGATCCCGAACTTATAAATATCTAATAAAATCTGTCTTAAAATAGATAAACGCATTTTCAACTTACTGTTTGCATTCCTTCCCATTGACTATCAAAAGGAACTCAGTCTGCATGCAACAAAAAAAACAAAACAAAAAACCAAAACACAAAGGAACTCAGTCTGCATTACTGCTGACTTGAAGTAGAAGTATAAAGTAAAAATTCAAAAGTTGAAACATGATATTATCTGTGTGCAGTGTTAACTAGCTGTATACACAATGAAGTTCAGATATATAAACTCCATGAATCACTGGCCAAAAACAATGATAAAAACACACTGCATTTCCTCATGGACCTCGACATTCAAAAGCTTCTTCATAAAATATGCCATGAGACGCACTGTTTTATCTCAACTATTTGATAAAAAAAAATGGGAATGTTATCATACAAAGATGATCTGGGGATTCATTCAAAGGAGCTCAGTTGCCTCGAGGCCTTAAAAAAATTTCTTCCACCGTTCTTTTGATGTATATCGATTCATTCCTTCTGCTGATCAACTCAGGTCAGCAACAAATCCCAAGGAGACTCATTGCAAAACATGTTTGTGTCACCCTCCATGCCATAAAGTACACTTGCTGGAATAAGGAGCCGATATAATTATCTGTTTGAGAGAATACTCCTGAAACAGACATTTCTGAGATCATTTTTTCTATTAAATTAAAGAGTGAAGTAATACCAATCTCTAATTTAATTGCTTCATGCCTTTCCTCATTCCTAGTCTAGTTACAACTTGTGTCATATGTAATAATATTCATTTTCCATATCTTCAATTACAAAATCCAAGAGAGATGTTAAGAGCGCACCTGGGTTTTAGTTGAAAAATTACCAGTGACAGTCACGAGAAGGGCACCTTCACCTAACTTCCAAGTGGTTGATCTTTGCCTTCAACGTACTGCTCATACAAAGAATGATATTTTGCTGGGATGTAATCCTTGAAGCTGTTGAACACAAGACGATAAAGGATAAGATGATTTAACATCAGATATTTCAATTTGATCAAATGGCAAGAATATCAAATGACTCCGTGCGTTACACTTTGCAGTTAGAATATCAAATGACTTGGCTCATTCATTACGATTATACAGGACAAGATGTTATATGAGTTGCAATTAGTTTCACCGTCAAATACCCAGAACTCTCAATAATAACACAAAAATCGACTAGTAATGAATGGTTACAAGGACCACGCTTAAAAACAAAAAAGGTCACACTTATAATATTGTACTTTCACTAAATACCTTTTAAGGAGAGGAAGCCTCTCGGGTCCACTGAACAATCTAGAAATGCATTGTAAAACTTCGCTAATCTTCATCGCTTTGGTCTTAAGAGCCTTCATATAACCCACAAAATCTATATATTCTGTAGCACTAAGCTTATCTCGTACCTGTAGAGCATGATTAAAACAAAGTATCCTTACTCCAAAATTCTCATCAATATATTTGACGAGAAAGCAACATCAAATTTTAATGTCATGTTGCCCCACGGCGAGGATTGAGGTTACAGAAAAAAAAAGACTCCCTCCATTCCTTTCTATCTTTTTTCTTTCAAAATAAATAAATAAAATCTTTTATTCAAAAAAATCTTTCTAGTCTCTGGTCCTGATCCAATAACTATAAGGATTAGCACTTTTTTTCAAACCCACAACTCATTATGCAACACTTCTAACATTAAAATAAGACTGACTAGATCAGACCTCAGTAAGAAAAAAATCCAAGCCCAACTACAAGTCTTGAGGAATGATCGTAAAAATGAAAAAGATATTGCAACAATTAGGAACATACCGTTAAAATTTAATGCAAACTGATCCAGCAGATTCGTAGAACTAACAACAAATAAATAGGAACTAGAAATTTCCCGTGTAGGTTTTGTAAGAATTATGCAAACCGATGTCAAAATTAAGACCATATCTGATCATGTGCTTACTGCTCATGTTTGTATATTTGATTGGATTCTCTTGCATATTGGCTTTAATCTTTTAGTTCCAGTTATTGCTAGTTATTGCATTCCATACTCCTCATGCTATATGCAGATCCATGTATCACATAAAATGCCATTACCTGAGCAAGGAATGCTGAACCTTGGGTTTCATGACTTGCAGAAGGTGCGGAATCAGTAGGAAGATTGACATTTTGTCTAACGAACTCAAGACTTCTACTTTGGGAGGTCCCGTCACCTTTACATCGCAGATCACCACCTTGAGCATTTTGACTAGCTATATTATAAATCAACAGATTTATCATGATTGAAAGGATTACAAACTGAATTGAGAGCTGTAAGATTCAAAAAATTTGTACCAGATGATGAATGCTCATTAGAATTTCCAAAATGTTGCTTTAAGTCATACTCTCCAGCTATAAATCGACGCTTCTTGGCAGAACAAGGTTTTATCAGCGTTTCCTTTGATTTTTCACCCAATTCGCAACTGTCAGACAAATCAACCGCATCACATTCCCGTGAGAGCATGGTCTTCCTTCCATGCAAAACTGTGCCACATATATCTCTTGAACTTTCACAACCTACAATCTTGCAATTGTCAGAAGCAAGAGATGAGCGATTGGCAGGCACAATTTCCCCCGGGAATGAAGTACAGCCTTTTTTAGTATCAAGCAAAGATGAAGCTTTCAGAGAGCTATTTCGAGCCACTGGTGTAGTCTGCATATACAATCATTAATAAACTGGAGGGCCAAATAATAGGATTATATGATTCAAAAAATATATTTATCTTTACAGTGCACAATCAAGGAGTTACCAGAGGCGACAGAAATTTTTCCACAGAAAACCTGTCCATGCAGTTCTCTGATGATGGCATTTCTCCCAGATTTCCTGTGCGATGAAGGATCATCTAGTTCAATCATATTAGTAAAAAAAAAGGAAAAATGATCGAAAGAAAGAGAAGCTACTGTTTGCAAAAATATTAAATTTGCATCAATTGAAGACTGCAGAGCTGGAATATAACCATTCGTCTATTATAGATTTACTATAGCAATTCACTTGCAACCAAAACGTTACATTCAAATAAAACACAGTAACTTTTATGGTAAAACTCATTTAAACCAGTATGGACCACAAAAATGTTGGGAAAATGAAACTAATTTAATGGAATGAGTTACCAAACAACTTCAGCACTAGAACTGGCCCAGTGGCCCCATTATTCACAGTTAGCAGACTTTTTGAGTTATGCAAAGCCCGTCTGATCATGTAACTCCACTCATGTATCCTATTATGATCCAATATCACATTGCAGGCAACTCATATTTCCCTCCCTCATTATGAAAAATAAAAATCTGATTTTCTACAGATTCAACTGCCAATTTACAAAATTAGAAACCATACCGAATGCCCTTCCAAACAACAAAATACAATACTTTAGTGTAACGATCACAAAACAAGGTAGGGACCACAAGTCAACGCACAATGAAAGCCAGCAGAATGTATTACTAGAAGACACTGACCCTCATTTTCAGCTTTTAATAATGACAGCTTTTTAGAACCCTGGGTTCCTCCATCCCGGAAAAATCGAGTTAGAGTAAAAACGACTTCTCCAAATCTTGAGAAAGACTGCAAGATTGGAAATCAATTAGTACAAAATATATGGAATCCAAAAAGAAAAGACAACTCCAGTGCAGAACCTTGATGTGAGGTTGTATCCAACGTGAGACTTGGGACTGACGATGTGGATGTGCAAACCTGTAAATCATTCAGTCCTCAGCCAAAAGTGGTAAAACAACAAAGGCACAATTAATAATATTGAGATTTAATAGAGAAAAAGAATAATTACACCTAGCATCTTGACACGTGTTGGTTGGCTTTTGTATTACTAATGCATATATTGACATTTGAGATATTTATTTCAGTAAATTTAGAAAAAAAGAAATTTAAGTGGTTCATATCATATTATCATGACACTAACCAACTTACTTAATAATTCACTCAGTTTATAGATTTAGATAGAACACCACTCAGAAATCTATAGAAATTTGTCAGGATCAAAACAAACCATTGACTTTCAATTATCTATAAGACAAAAAAACAACTGGTCCAATTTTTTTCTTTAAAAAAGTAACACTTAGAGAATGGCGTGTTACTAAATGTAAAAATCAATTCAATATTGACATTTGAGATATTTATTTCAGTAAATTTAGATAAGAAGAAATTTAAGTGGTTCATATCATATTATCATGACAATAACCAACTTACTTTAATAATTCACTCAGTTTATAGATTTAGATAGAACACCACTCAGAAATCTACAGAAATTTGTCAGGATCAAAACGAGCCACTGACTTTCAATTATCTATAAGACAAAAAAACAACCGGTTCAATTTTTTTCTTTAAAAAAGTAACACTTAGAGAATGGAGAGCTACTAATTGTATAAATCAATACAACCCATGTTAGATAAGACTACATTAATGATTTTTATATTATCTTTCTCTAACACAACCCCTCACACAAGAGCCCATTAGATTTGAATGATAGATAATGCCTCAAGTCACGCCTACCCGTGCTAAGAAATTCCACAATATTTAATTTTAATTATTTATTAATGGAATGGAGGGAACTAAGAATCGAACTCGTGACTACTGAGGTAAGGCTACATTAATAATTTTTATATTACCTTTCTCTAACACTAATCAAAGCTTATGTTACTTTGCTAGTAGTACCAGTATATGTATTTTGAAGAAAATTTGACAAGGTTAAAACCTTTCATCACAGAAAATAATTGCTCCATAGTCGTGGCGATGGCGAATTACACGTCCAACAGCTTGATTCACAGCTCGTGAGGCTTGCTGGTTATACCATTCGTCTCCAGTTAAAACCTGCTTAAATTCCATATAAATGAGTACATATACTGCATAGAAGTGTACAACTTTTATGTCAAGTGAAACCAACATAACCTTGAACAACCCCTCTTGTGTCTGAGATTGTTGATCCAAGTATTCACGTTTTAGACGAACCTGTACACAATACATGCATTTGATTAACATACATACATAACTAATAGTAATATATGGCGTGCTTAATGAATGCAATAATAGACAAATTTTCAAGGCAAACTAAGGAAAGAATGAGAAAGGATTTTTTCTTTTTTCATAAAGAAAGGGAAAATACTATCAAACCTTAGGATCAGTGCTTGTGGCAAATGGTAAACCAGTAATTATCACAGCTCTTCCAGCATGATCTGCAAAATCTAATCCTTCACTTACCTGTTAAAATAACCATTGGCACAAATGAACTTCAGATTCAGATGCCACATCTAAGTGAGGCAGTAAGCTACATTTGCAGTACAATTTCAGGTATAATGCTTCTTGTATAAACCTTTCCTCCTTAATTACATATATCACTAAATATTTTATATGATATACACATTCTCGTATCTTAGATTTTTCAAATCTATTGCACTATCGCGCGCCCCCTCCCCCTACAGCCCTGCCTGTAAGGTAGTATCAGGGTATCATACCAGTACAGGTACAGCTATGCTATGCATACCAATATCTGAACATACTATAAAACGAATGCCAGAGAACACAATTGAAGGTTGTTTCTCAACAGCCATGATCAAGGCATACCTTCCCTCGACAAACAGCAAAAAAAATTGCACCAGATGCAGAGGTGTCGTTCAGCTTAGATATGTAGTCCTGTCGAAAAAAACATATAGGTCCATAGTAGGATATGACACATCCAAATGCTAATTATGGAAGAATGTTGTTTCACTATGCTACATTAAAGTGTTACCTTAATTGATGAGGCAAATAATGAAGATTCCCTAGGTTCTATAACTGGTTTCTTGTGTTTGCAAATTCTCTCCCATATTGATGTTGAATTTTCATTATTCTGAAAACAAAAAACCACAACACAATACACCATGAGATAAGAGCAAACAAATTTATCGCTTCATTAGGTTTGTACGAGTCTTACCAAGCTTTTCCAGCACCCAATGCATTGGTCCAAAAGGTAATAAGATGGGAAGAATACAAGAAGTCCATCAGGAACAATTCGGGCAAAATTTACTGGAATACAATATAAAAAGGGAAACGTGGACAGTCAGTAATAGCCCCCACTTTTTATTTTTCTAAAATTCTGTTAATGCTTGCAAGTGACTTATTTCCAAATTCTGCAGGTTCTTGCCTCTCTACTTAGTCAAAAAGTATAATGAAACCAATGAATGTAAATTATATAATACTAACTTCTTGGAATCTACATTAAGTTTCCTTCCTTAGGTCCCAGTAGGGGTGTTCAAAAAAACCAAATGATCCAAACCATTTTGTGAACTGAACCAAACCAATTCAAAAAAACCGATTTTTATAAAACAGTTTAAAAAACCAATCCCGTTTTTTAATTTTGGTTTAGGTTCGGTTATCCATTTTCATAACAGTTTGGATATCCAAAATAACCGAACCAAATTTAAAAATTAAAAAACCGGTTTGGAAAAGGAAAATGCAGGTGAGAACGCATTGATGCTACCAAGAAAGTTCCTTCTTCCAGCGTTAAGTATCAGAATAGACAAACAAACTAGAGCTTCGAACCAAATCCTCATCTCTCTAGCTGATATCACATACGCAAAAAAAAGGTTCCAAATGCATCGACCCTCTCCATTACCATTGTTATATCAGCCACCACAACCAATATTCAAACTATTAACAGCAAATACTAATACTAAAACATGCAAGATGAAATTAAAAAAACTGATAATCGAAGACTGATTTTGGTACTGAAATGAAGTCCAATTAGCTAGTTCATCAACAATAATAGGCTCTAATTAATTAGAGCAGAACCATGTCTACATGCTCAAACACTAACACAACCGGAAATATAGCCCCACCTTTAACCCACGATGCAGAGCAGCACTTAGCAGTATGGTACATACACAGACGGAAAGCGAGAGAGAGAGAGAGAAAGAGGAACACACCAGAGAGTCAAAAAAAAAATCCAATTTTTTTGTTACAAAACCGGTTTTGAAACCGGTTACAAACCGGTTTGAAAAAATTAAAACCGGTTTTTTAAAAAATCAAACCGGTTTGGTTTGAAACCCAAACCATTAAAAACAATTCGGTTTGAATATTAGTAAAAACCAAACCAAACCGCTCCATGCACACCCCTAGGTCCCAGTATGCTATTAGAAAGTTATCTTTTTGCCTCCCATGCCTATGTAAGCAAAGCCATACTCATCTGCCTCAAACACCCACATCTCACATCTTTCTCCAAATCAATAGCTAGATAAGAACATAAATTATCAAATCTTATGACAACTTAAAATCTACTTGGTCAAAACTCACGTTTAGGATCAGTTAAAAATAATAACTAAAAACAGTATGAAACTGTAAAGAACCAATTCAACCCAAAAGCTTAAGCTGTTGGGTGAGGCTACATTAATGGTTTTATATATCTCAACATGCCCCCTCACACGAGAGCCCACTGGGCTTGAAGAGTGGACGGTGCACAGGCTCACCTACCTGTGCGAAGAAAGAAATTCCATTAGAAAGAAAGTGGGGGGGCGGTGAGGATCGAACCCGATACACCGAGGCTTTGATACCACGTAAAGAACCAACTCAACCTAAAAGCTTAAGCTATTGGGTGAGACTACATTAATGGTTTTATATATCTCAATTCTCAATAGAAACATACTGCAGACCTTTCTAGGAATGATTCGCTGATACGAATACACCCTTAAAGTGTACACTTTGAGAAATATAAGAGGCTAGAAGCTTCTGTTAAGTCAGAAAGAAGTTTGTTAGCAAAGAATATTCATGAAGCTAGTAAACTGAATTCTGTTAGAGGTTTGGAAGTGGCGGGAAGAATTCTAGATAAGTAGGGGAATAGGCACTGATTCTGATCATCTGGAATCTTAGGCTTGAGTACTAGAGCCTCTCTAAGTGCTCTAAAACTATTTTACCTTTATGTTTCCTTCTTGTATTTTCTTGCATTTCCATCACTGTATCCACACCTTTTGCTATTCTGTGACATTGTATTGAAACTAAGCTTCCGTATCAATATCAAATTTCCTTTGTTTTGTTCGTATTCCTTTCTATGCAGATTGGTACCTATCATTCGCATACTACTGCAATCTATCAAAATTCCTATGCTACAACATGCAAAACCAAAATATGTTTGACTAGCATAACACTGTAAATCTAAAGTACTCTAAAATATGAAATATAGCAATAGAAGGCTGGAATATAAAAGCGGGATCAAGCCCTGACAAGAATGCAATGCTCCTGTCACTAATAAAGTTCCAACTTTCAAGCACAGTGTAATTCCAAAAAATTTTAACTATATATGCAGTTTTCGGAGTGGAGAGACAAATAATATGTTAAGCTTCGTTCTACACAACTCGGTATAACCATAATTATGTCACATACCAATTGCATTTCCAAGCTCCTGTCTGTACTCCGGCGAATCGCGAGTGCGGTAAGAGGAGTTGAAAGTACGTCCTGAAGGACCAACTGGTACAACTCCAGCCCATATCTGACTTGGGGTTATTACATGTGGATTTTCCAGCCGAATGGGGAAGTCTCTGAGATGACCAGAATCAACTCTGTTAGTAAATGACAATCAAGATATTACTGGATGAAAACACAAACAGCAAGAAAAGGAACTTACAATTTCAGCTCCTGGGCAAAAGATTCCATAGGAGATAATGTTCCTGATGTCAGGATAATAGATCTGACCCCAAACTTAGGAAATTCTTCCATAGCTATTCCTGGATTAAAGCACCACCAACCGAGTGTCCTTGATACCTTGCCTGCAGCATCAAAATAACAAGACATAATAACTGAGAATGGAAGGATATCTACAGTTACAAACACTGTACAGGTCTACTGGAAACAAGTTAGACTGACTGTCAGTACAATAAAAGGAATATCTTCATTTACAGGACTAAAGTTCTACAGGAAACATTTCCTACTCACGGTATCTATCACTTGTCTTATATAACCAAACAGACCCATGTTAAACATATAAATGCTAATTCATTTTCACATGTCCACCCCAAAAAATATGTGATCCGAAGGCCAAAAATCTTTAACATATTTGGAATATAGCAATAAATTCAAGATAAAATTATCCAAAGGAAACAACCATATTTTTAACATAAAAATAATTTTTTTATAAAAATGAAAATATCAACTGTCTAAATCTAAAAAGCTTAAAATAAAGTGAGTCTGAAAAAAAAAATACCCAATAATGGATAAAAATTTAAAAAAATAAATAAATTAAGGGTCACAAGTCATAATCATAAACAATACACCGAACAAGTGCCCCAGAAATTATGAATCATGGCCCAACATATTATATAAATTATAATACTTTTTATGTTTTAAATTTATAGTAAATGTGTGAAAATTGACATAATATACTGGGTGAAAAGTTTAATTGAGAGGGCAAAATAAATGGAAAGGTAGTGTAGTGAAGATATTAAGACTATTTCCATACATTGAGAAAATGTAGTTCATCCATATAAGTGTAAGATTACCTTTAGAGCCATTGGCAGCCCAAGCCTCAACCTCCCGCACATTAACCTTTAATGTACAGGGAAATAAAGCTTTAAATTAAGATATATCATATCACAAGAAAAGCAAAAAAAGACAAACAAGAATTGCTATAAAGCAACAAGTCAAACAAAAACCATCCACTGAAGTGTAACTCTAATTCAATAAGAGTCCAAAACTTACACGATAGTATTTAGCATGAGTGGTTCTTCCTTCCCTGAAAACAATGTCTAGGATGTCACTGATATTATCCAACCGGCAGATGGTTCCAGTTGATTTCTGCTGATTATGTTCCTCAAGAAGGGTTGAAGCTTCTGCAATTATCTTGGTAAGCTTACTAGTAGTCTCGTGTGTGATGTTAAGATCAGCCAGCAATTCATAGATATAAGGCCCAGGTTTGGTATATCCCAACTCCTTAGATTCAATAGGCACCTCAGCAATACGCTTTTCAAGTTTTAGAAGAAGTGCTGCAAGAAAGAAAATACCTGAGATGCCACAAAATATACTGCATTCATTTTTCAAATTACCCTAAACAGAATAGATCCCATGTGCAAATAGTTGGCTGCCTCAACAGAAAATCCGGTAAACACACAAATTTTATATTAGATAAGTTTTCCTCAATAATTTGTCAATGTAAGTACAAGCATGCATCATGGTATTCTCACATAGAAATTGGAACTTTGACAAACATTCTATAAGATTAAGCTCACCTCTAAGGATAGCAAAATCATCTGGATTATGTGACTTATCATTTGATTTTTCTCTTCTTTTTATTGAAAGGTTAATACAACTTTCAGCCTCGGAAATGCAAGCTGTTAGAAGCCAAGAAGGCAAGTCAAAGGAAGCTGCATCAGCACATATGCTTTCCTGCAAAGAGATAACCATTGTTAAGTAATGACAAGCAAACTTGAATCGCATGAATAAGTTTTAATAACACATATAGCAGAGTAGTGGAAAGGACAATAATAAACATAGCATTGACAGTTTGACACTTAATAGAAAGATGGACTATGGAGTAAATCATATTTTCCAATTACAAATTTGTAATATATCTACTTACCAGGTTGTGAGCTTCATCAAATATGAGTATACTATTGCTCCAAGAAAATTGCAGAGATTTTCTATAACCACGATCAATAAGATAGTTGTATGGAGAAAATACTATATCAACAATCTTGTGGAGCTCCTTTGATAAATAATAAGGGCAACTGAAAAAAGCAGACACAAAACAAAACAGAAGCCCAAGCAATTAGAAAAAAGAAAAAGAGGAGCATGGAGGCAATACAAAAAAAAATGCTTTTAAGATGTTATAGAAAGGATACAGCACAGCTGAGAAAACCTACGGCCCAAATCTCCTGCCAATATTGACCAAATCCTCAATATCTACAGGTTCTTCTCCCAGATGGGGATTGTTCTTCAAGTAACCTACAGCAGAATATCAATAACACTCAAGATAATCTAAGTCATAATGATAACACACCATAACTTCAAAATTAGATGTCAATAATTTATAAGTGATCTGCAACTTTCAGTAACCTCAATAAACATTACATCTTATTCTTACAAACATTTGACAGGACTTGAAGTTCAGAGATATAATTTTAAACAATCCATGAGGGACAAAATAATTGATTACAATCCATATAAAACTATAATAGTCTGCAAAAGAAATTTAATTTACGTCTACATGAGGGTGTTTTGCATAACTAACAATTTAATCAAGAGCAAGGATGACGAAGTTATGGTATCCATAACAAAGGTATATGGTTGCACATCATTTACAAGTGTGATCAATTGGTTCAATACCACAGAATATTTTTCGTAAAACCATAACAACAAGAATGACTTCCCATACACCAATAAAACAATAAGCAGAATGACTTTCCTGGTAATCTAAAATCATAATTCAAACTTTTATCTCCTATACAAACAATTGCATTCGATACAGGATTGGTGAGAAACTATATGTTTATATGAAAAAACCCGCTCCAAATGGCACAGAGAAGATATGCCAACAATTAAAATACAAACAAACAAAACTAAACAAAAAATCTAGTAATTCTTAATTTCAGTGTTTGTTGGTCATCATTTGAACCATGGCACTCCATAGAACTAAGAGAGATCATGGAATAAATTTGAGAACATTGGTCCATCCACATAAAATACATGTTAAGTGGTAACTATGAATTACTCAGATACATAAATGCATAATGACAAACAACAAAGTTCACATGTAAAATATAAGCACCCATACTGTGCGTTAGAAATTATTTTAAAAAAATTACCAGAAACTTGATTGAAATGGTTACATTGACGCTTCCCACCCCTTCGGCAGAGCATTCGGCAAGCATTTGTTTGTGTTTTCCCGTGAAGTAACTTCACTTCATCATGAATGCAAAGTTGCTCCCGAGATCCTAGGACTACCATCTTAGGCCTGCATACTGATAAATACCAGGTAAGCTTAGGCCCAAGAAACTTATATCACCATAAAAACTGTAAGCTATAAGTGCAATTCTATCAAGCATAAGTCTAGTAGATAACAATCTATGTTCTGTATCTGGACCATTATCACCAATTTGACAGGAACAAAAACTGAGGCAAGTGCATGTGAATGGTAAATTTATTATAAAAAACCAACAAACAAATCTGGCTGAATATAAATTGACCTGTAAGACGTTCGTTTCAACTCTCGAATTACTTGACGGATCTGGCTGTGAGTGCGTGAAGCATATACAATTGTAGGAAAACCTAGGGCCTCAGATTGTGATGGTGCAACCTCTTTTTCACCCTCTGAATTATCACCAGTCTTCATGCTTACACCAGTCCTGAATCTGCCCAGGCTCTTCCGCCAGGCTAAGGTAGCACAGAGAAGACATAGTGTTTTCCCGGTTCCTGTGGGACTCTCCAACAGTGCATTGCATTTCTGCCATGCCAAAACACATATAGACGTGCATTATGAATATCAACAGCACAATACTCGAATTTTCACTAATAATCAATCATAATCTTAATGGAGAAGGAGAACAGAAGATTTTAAATGAACATCGCACACCTCAAAAAGAGATACTAATCTATGGTGATAAGTAATAACATTAAAATTGTGTGGTCACTTCCAACTAGTGATCCAAAAGCAAATTTATAAATGTAATGTCAAGAATTTTGAATTGGTTCGCAAAGGCGATTGCATCCGCGACTCTTATTATTCGCCAATTGCCTCAATCACAACGCGACTCTAATAAGTTCCTAAATCATATTCCCGTTTATTAATAGATAATCTGACAGTTAAAATGGCTTTGGGGGAAAAATGCAATTAGTAAGGTCATTGTTACCTCCTGAAGTGATTGAATGACTTTGTCCATGTAAACGAGCTGGGAATCATAGGCTTCATATGGAAAATCTACGTCGATTCCCCTGATCTTGTATGTTGGCATTTTTTCTTCGTTTCCTCTTGAAACCTGGAAGAAAAATATAAATTAGTTTCTTCGCTGAGTTTGTTTGAACATGAATGAACCCTAATATCAGATGCCGCCACTAGCTAGTCATGACTGAGATAATTTTCCCGCCAATACGTTGGAGATTAGATAAGCGACGTCGTAATACATGTGTGACCATACTTATGAGTGAGAAACTAAAATCGGAAAAAGAAAATGTTAATAACGTATGTAAATCAGAATTATGTATTCATATAATGGCTTAGCATCAATTGAGTGATTACTCAACTAATTAACAAATATAATTTTTTCTTTGATTGAAAAAAATATTTCCCCAAAAAGTCTTTTCATTTTGCTGATATCTTTTTAAATAAAATTAAAAAATATCGTCATTATTATTTATGTCATATAAAATATGGATAATTCATCTCAGGTGGAGAAAAGAAATTCTCCTCCACACCTATCAAAAGTAGCGCTGGCTTTTTTATTTTTTTATTTTTTTCTCCTAATGGATCCCACACTTTCTTGTTTCTACAAGTGGTTGTAACTAGTAAGTTTTTTTTATAACCCATAAAATATTATTTCAAACCAAATTAATATTTATAGTCATTGTCATTTGTGTCGTGTAACATATTATTTCAAACAATATTTGAGTATTCACGTTAATTGCAGTGTATGATGACTGCATGGTTTCAGTAGATTAACTTGGTTTTTCTAAAAGATCTTGTCCATTGAATTTCAGTTTTGCCACTTCACAGGCATCCCTCTCCGACTCTCCCTCTCTCATTCATTTAATTTTTTTTGGTACCTATGAAAATTTCCGAAATTCACTTCTTACAACTCTCGTTTACATTCCCCACTTTTTATTTGTTTATTTCTACGATAAAAGGGTAGTCTCATGCAACAATTTGCAAATCGCATTATGAAATAATTGTGATAAGTGAATTATATTTAGAGTAAAATAGTTTTGTAAATACTATTAGCGCCTCTTTAGTTATTCAGTCAAAACTAGTAATTTGTTAATTCGAGCTATTCCAACTGATATTTGATAATTCGAATCATCAAAATTGTTCACAGATCAAGGGAATGAACTTGTCAACATATGAACTTACCTGAAGTTCAGAGATCAAGTGTAAAACCATCATATGCACTATCTTTGCACTTGCATTTCAGTTCATAAAGCTAAGATTTTGGTTAAAATAATATAGGACATGTATATCCAATTATCCAAACGACCATGACCAAGTCTAGAGACATAAATAAGTACATTTGCCAGCACAAAAAACCAAACTGCGAAGTCTTAACAAACGAAGCGACTATTAAATATTATTGCTTTATATTTAATATAAAAATAATAATAATAATAATAAGCTGAACTTCAAAATATATATTTTATATATATAATAATTTATCTATTTCACAAAAATATCTTCTATATTCCCATGATACCGAAGATTCAATATATTATTGCTAAAATTAGAAGAAGAAGAAAATACACCTCCCTTTACTTATTTCATCCTTTTTTATGGTTAATAATATTTGGGGTTTAATTTCAATTTTTGTAAAGAAATACCTACTCCTATCATATTAAAAATATATTCCTATTCCACTACCTCACTCATTGAGCCATAATAAGTGGATAATAACTTAGACGTTGAAAGGGTTAAAAAAAAAGATATGATCACTAATCTCAAATATTTCACAACATAATAATCGCCCAGGAGATGGTTCATTAGATGGAACGCAAGAAAGGGAAGCATGGTCTAATGGCAATTAAAATTGATCTAGCTAAAGCATACGATCGTTTGAGCTGGTCTTTCATTAAGAAAGTTCTTGAAGATGCAAATATCCCCACGAGCCTCGTACAGATTATTATGAATTGTATTGAAACGTCCTCCTTCAGGGTCTTGTGGAATGGGTCCAAATCTGAGAGTTTCACTCCAGGTCGAGGGATCAGGCAGGGGATCCATTATCACCATACTTATTTGTTCTATGCATGAAAAAACTTTCACATCTTATTGCGGATGCAGTTGAATCTGGAAGATGGGAACCTTTCAAAATAGGTAGAGGAAGGCCTAGTATCTCCCACCTTTTGTTTGCGAACGATGTTTTGTTCTTTGCAGAAGCGAGTCTGGACCAAATGGATGTAATTCAATCGTGCTTAAATTATTTTTGTGAAGCTTCCGGCCAACTTGTCAGCACTAGCAAAAGTGTCATCATGTTCTCCCGGAACACAAATAAGGACCTGGCCAAAGCAATTGGTGATAAATGCAGTTTTAAGAGGGCAAGGAAAATGAGCAAATACCTAGGGGTAACTATTAAACAAAGGAGAGTAACCAAAAGATCATACTCTGAGATTATGGAGTGTGTACACAGTCGATTAAATGGGTGGAATACCAGATACCTATCCATGGCTGGGAGAGTTACTCTAGCTCGTTCAGTCATCTCAGCAATCCCAAGCTTCCAAATGCAGCACTCTCTTCTTCCTTTTGTGACGAGATTGAAGCTCTTCAGAGGAGGTTTATATGGCGAGGGACAGAAAATAAAAGAACAATGCATCACGTCGCTTGGAATCAAGTCAGTCGCCCTAATGAGTTAGGTAACCTTAGGATCTTAAACCTTCGAGCCCATAATACAGCATATATAGTGAAGCTTCTCTGGAATATCATCCTAAATCGTGAGGCACTCTGGGTGCGTGTTTTATTGGCAAAGTATGGAAGGGGTTGCGACCTTAGAAGAAAGATTTCTTGCAAGCCATATGATTCTAAACTCTGGCGAAACTTGGGGCATGTATGGAAGGAAACAAACAAGATGGCTAAGTGGGAGATTGGAGATGGATGGTCGATTAACTTGTGGATTGATAATTGGAAAGGCAGTGAGGAAAGCTTACTTGAGGTGACAAATTCACACTACCTCAAAATGACTTATCCCTTAAACTAGCGGAATGCACAAAGGAGGGAAGATGGGACTTCGACTACCTGGGGCAGTTTCTAGATCAAAACCACTTAGATCTTATTAATAGTATCCTTCCATCGTATCCCTCTGAAGGCGAATATCGTCTATGTTGGAGTGAGTTGGGGGGTTCCCACAGAGGATCTTTGGTGAATAAATAAGCATCATGGGACGGGACAAGAATATCATACAGTCTTTCCCGTGGAAGAGAGTTTGGGTTTTGAAAATATTTATGTGGCAAGCATGTCTCAACAGACTTCCTATGAAGGAACGTACTTGTAGATGGGGCTCAGTCTCGCCAAGGTGCCATGTGTGTAGAAAACAAGATGAGAATACTATTCACGTCCTAAGGGATTGCAAACTAGCAGTGAAAGTCTGTAATAGCTTTGTGCACCCGAAGAAGAAAGACACATTTTTCAATCTGAATCCCGAATGACATGGGTAGGAACTGTACACCTGATTGGCGCTATTTCTTTTTCATTTCATGTTGGTGCTCATGGAACTGGAGGAATAGAGGTATCCATGACGATCATTTCTCTCCCCCACTCAACCCGTAAAACATCATATCGCATCATATAAGAGAAACTCTTATCAGTTGTAATCGGGAAGCTTCACTAATGAGGCATGAAGGTATTGAAGGGCAGCTTCCCCATCATTTTGGCGCTGAGTCTTCCTCTGGGATGTCAAGGTGGCATACTCCCCCTAACTTTTGGATCAAGCTCAATATCGACGGAGTTGTTACCAGCAACTCCATGATGGCTAGTTATGGGGGACTTTTCAGGAACGACAAAGGGATGTGGCTTGGGGGTTTCATCTATTCTATATGGCGGTGTGAACCTTTCTTGGCTGAATTCTGGGGGATCCTCACTAGGCTGGAACTAGCTTGGAACATGGGCTTTAGAAAGCTAATCATAGAAGGAGATGCTTTAGATAACTTTAATGTTCTGCGTAGCCCCTCAAACGAACCAAATGACAGTCATATAGTGCGTAGAATCAAAGGATGGGTTAGAAGAGATTGGGAGGTCAAGTTTAACTATACCAACAAAGAGAACAATGCTTGCGCAGAATGGCTCGCAAATGCTATACTCAGAGGAACTTCTGGTCTCCAAATACTCATGCACCGTCCTAAGGACCTGTTGCAGCTATTTAAGGCTGATTGCAGTAATTTAGTTTCGTCTACTTCTAATACTTCTATGTAGTTTTTCTTCTTGGGGCTTTCAGTCCCTTATACTTACCCAAAAAAAAAATCACAATAGTGAGAAGGAAGCAATTTTTATAAAAAGATGTATTTACTGAAAATTTTACCTAATTGTTCATTGTTAGTGTATTTTGAATTTGAAATTAATTGTCATCGCATCCAATCCAAACTACTGATTGTTGTCCTACAAGTAAGATATCTAGTAAAAAATGTTAGGCAAGTGACCTCAAAACTTATTAGGAGGTGAATTGAGTTTTAAAATATTTTTACAAAATGCTTCACTTTTTTTATAAATTTTTTTTATTAAGGTTCTATGATTTAGGATATGCAAAAATATAATGAATTTGAAACTTAGACAAGCTAATATGAATAACACATTAAAAGTTAGATATGCTCAAATATACCAATAATGCTCATGTAAATGAGATGAAGGTTAGAGAAAGTACAAACTCGGTTTATCTTATTCCATTCACAACCACCGATAATTATGTCCAACCTTTAATCACTACAATGATTGGTCCACTATTGATCAAGCTTAAGAGTACTTAAACAAACCACTACGTAGAATCACACAAAGATTATAGTTTTTGGACTCCATACACTTCCACCTAATTTCTTAAGCAATGGGTAACTTTTCCAACTAGGGTCTCACTATCTTCAATCAACAATCACTTAATAAATAAATATGCTTACGACAAATTAAGCATTCTCAAAGTTAGGGATGGCAAAATGCGTCATGACTCGCGAGTCAACCTATGACACGACACGCCAAAATGCGGGTTGTGTCGACCTGTGTGATAAAACAGGTCGTGTATGACACGAATTAGTGTCGTCGTGTCACGGGTTGACCCATGTGACTAGGGTGTCAACCCGTATATTTTTTTTTATAAAAAAGACATTTTGGTAATTTTTACATGCCTCATTGCGGGGCACAGTTTAACCTGCGTATTTTATTCACTTTTTTCCATTTATTTATTTTTGTTTAAAAGAACCAGATTATCAATTTTTGCAGGTCAACCCGTGTGACCCGCAACCCGTGGCGAGTCGTGTTAAGGTTTCAATTTTTGACAAGCGAACAAGAACAAATCATGTACAGGTTGGACAATTTGACCTAGGGTCAAACTTGACACGACACAAATCTGACCCACCGACCTACTCAAACGTGCAAAAAATATAAGTTGAAGTCCAGTGAGTGTATAACTTAAAGAATAAAGATAAGCTTAAGTATATGATGTCGAAGTAATATGATATTCAATGAGCAAGAATGTGTTAGGAGGAGTAATAATAACTCAATAAATGATATAATTTCATTCAATAAATGAAAATGTTATTAAAAGCTTATATAACTTTCAAACAAAAAGTAGTTGTTTATAGCCATTAAAAGCATTATGGATGACATATCGTGATATGTAACCCTCTAGTATCCATATATCTGAAATTACATATTGAGATATGCATATCCGGATATGCTAATATTTCGTGAAATTTCGTATTAGTTTTTATTCAAAATTACTTCTATCATTTTAATACATGTAATTGGACCTAAAAAACATTTCGATGCATTCAGATCAAGTGAAAATTATTTCGATTCAAAATTGACACATTAAACCAATCAATTAAGTCTTATTTCAATATGCAGTGTCAAAAATATATTCTTTAAGTTCAAATAGAATTTCAACAGTGCGAACATACATATATAGGCTGTGTGTAAGAACTCGCACCATTAAATAAGGTATTTAATTAATTAATTAATTATGTGAAAATAGGAAATAATTTCATAATTGACCCTAATAATTATTATGAGGCTCTAATAATTATAGTAAGTGATTTAGAATGCTGATAGTCGCTTTTCGGAAGAAAAGTGCAGATACCGATTCTGCTAGTCGGTATAAATGTGTACCAAAAAAGTATCCCGGAAAATTAAAGTATGTGCATGATAATTACTAGAATGATATGTAGGACTTGTAAAACGAGTTTCAAGTCCAAATA